GGGGATGGGGTTGGGGGACTAAGGGGATGTAGGATGGGGGAAGGGGGATTGATTGTACAGAGACTTGTAACAAGAAAGTGATCAACATGCATGCTGCTTAGCTCGGCAACTCATTAGACTTGCAACTGAAATATATCAAAGTTTCAAACTCTACGCATTTCGAGTGCACCTGTCATGAGAGCGCGCATTCTACTAAGCATTGACTTCATGATAGGTTATTACATAATACAGTCAATCCCATTGACTCCACACCTTTGTTAAGTCATTCCTCTCAGGATTTATCAGCCTTACTACACAGCACTAGTCGAGGTATCTTTCTTTGTCATGTTCAGGGGGTACGGATATCATATCATGTTTTGCTGGACAAAACTGCACATTACCAGTATACCGAGGAGAGATCCAGGCTAGGAATCTGGGCATGGCCGTGGAGAGTTGGAACGACAAAGGTACTAGATTGTAAACCCATTATATACCATGCAAGACTAACTCCCAAGCCTTTAGTAGACTCAGTTATAGAAATTGTAACTTAGTGTAAAATTACTTCGTTCTAATTGGCTGATGGGCGGTCCAGCACTTTTTGATTGGATGGTTACTATTTCCGTTCCGTGTACTTTGGGTCGTGATTTTTTTATTCTAATACTAATAATACTAATGAATGTGTCGTAGGTGAAGCAGTCATGGATCAAAGTGGTGATCTTGTCTGCACTAAACCCTTTCCCTGCATGCCAACAAGCTTCTGGAATGATCCCAATGGACTCAAATACAAGAAAGCCTATTTCACCAAGTTCTCAGGTTAGCAGATTTCAATTTTTAGTGCGTCTGCCAATTAACAAATCATCGTCAGATTCACGGTCAACGTCGAGCTTGATTTACTCAAGTTAAAATAGACCTTGGGTAAGGGAGGGTTAGACGGGTAATGGAGAAATCTTTCACCACTGAAGAACTATTACTAATGGCCTTGTCATCCCAGTCTATTCACTGTAATCTAATTTCCAATATGTCTTACTTTAAATGATATAAGAGGGCTCTTAATAAGCTGGAATATCGTGCATCATCGGTGCTGAAACGAACCAATGTAGTTTTTGTTTCCGTCCACGAGAAATACTGAGCAACAGAAAACCCTGTTGCAGTACGTGTTACATACGATATGCCTCGAGAAATATTAACGTTATATTACACTGGCCTTTCTCTCTTAGGACCACAAGGTCCTTCTTAATTTAACATCACACTGAAAAGGTTATTAGTTACGTCCAGCATAGACAGGAACATTGTTGATTGAAATGAATAGCCTTCCCTTCTACGCATTGTAATGTCATTATATCTACCAATGCAAAACACCAGGCTAAAAATATCTTGTTTTAGTGATGTTGAATATATATACATGATGATGGTACATGACGATGATGATACATGATGATGGTACATGATGATAATACATGATGATGATGCGTGATGATACATG